TAATATATATGTGTATGTATGTACAACAAACGCTAGCACCTTAAAAACATACGATTAAAACGTTTCCCTCAGTCTCGATTTTTTTGAACGTTCCTCCATTTTTACGCAAAATGGCGTTTAATTGGGTCTAACCTAATTGACAATCAGGTGGCAGCCTCTATTTGACAATGAATCGAATGACAGAGAATAAATGATGATCAATCGATGAAACACAATTGCTTAAAGTCTACTTGTTATTAACAAATTTTATCCTTACAATGCACCCCCTGCAATTTTTCCAACAATTTATACTTTTTTTTACCGTCGTTTAAAGAAGAAAAGAAACACGCGATTGGGCAATTTTTTAGATATTTCGATTTTCCCAATTGTCCGCATTGTACGATTAAAATATATCATTCACCGATCTCTTCCAACTCAAACCGTTCTCTTTTCCGCCAAAGATCGCCGCGTATCAGTGTGCCCTAAATTAGAATGCGACATGCCATCGGACATCTTATAAATGTAATCCCTCAACGTGTCGTCGTAGAATTGCTGTTGCAATCGTTGCTTCTCAGTCTCGAAGAACTGCTTCAATTGATCCCTGTCTTGAAAGTAGTTCGGTGCTCCTCCTCCATTAGGTAGTTGCTTGTTCTTCAACAGTAAACCGTACAAATTGTGCATCTTAGGATGATTGTAAACGTTCTCTTTACTGTCTACTCCCTTGTGCTGTTTAGATACCTTAGGAAAATTATTTCTATCCCTCGACGAGTGATCGAACCTGGAGCCTTTTCTGAATTGCCTCGAATCGTGCTTATTGTCGTAATGAGAGAAACCGTCTGCGTGAATTGGATCGATGTTCGACGCAGAACTTTCGATACCGCCCGATTTAGGTGACATATTGTTTCTAGGATGTGATCTTGGCCCGTGATAATGATTATGGTTGTTGTATCTCGATGGTCCAGGTCTCTTCTTTCCTGGTTTGTCGTGGTAGTGACCTTTCGAGCGATGTGAATTTGGTTGCGGTGGTGTCAGGAATTCTCTGATATACTTCGTGTCCCTAGGATCGTTGTTAGATCCTGGTTTGTGTTTCTCTAGATCGTGAGGTCTACGGTGTCTTTGCGGTTTACCGTTTCCCTGGAAATTATGCAAAGATTCCGAGGGGTGATTCTTCAGCATCTGTTCCAACGCAGCCAACAATTCGTCCGGTTTCTTGCTAGGTAGCTCAGCTGTCTTCACTTTCGTTTCACTGTGATGTCCCTCTATTTGATCGTTGTTCCTCTTGTAATCAGACAGCGAGGCCTTCAATCTCTGCAGTTCGTTCTTCAACTTGGCAATGTCCATCGTGTCAGACATATTCTGACGATTGTTCCCTGGCTTTCTGTCGTTGTTCCACTTCTGAGAATTGTAGATCGTCTTCAGAGATTCCTTGAACATTTGCTCTGCGTAGTTCTCCAGGTCTGACGTCAATTTTGGTTTGGCCAGTAGTTCGCTTTGCGCTGAGAAGGAAGGCTTGAAGAAGTTACCACCTGGTATCAGTGGGACCAGGTTCAAGTTCTGTTGCAGAGGTTCGTTCGCGTGCAATTTACCGTTGAGAGCGTTCTGATTCTTCAGGACGTCCATATTAGGGACGAAATTGATCGGATTGAACACGGGTCTTTCCAGGGAGTGATACGCTTTCAGATCACCGCCGGGCTGATTGTTCTTCGAGCCGATCTCTGTCAAAGAATTCACCAGGTTTTGCATATTCGTGGATTCCGTGGTCGTGGATAATAGGGCTGGCCTGGCAGTGACGAAGCTGGTTGTGGTGAACATAGGAATCGACGTCGTTAAAACCGCAGTGGGATAGTGCATCGTCCCGTAGGAATCTATTATGGTATCCACCGGGCTGGGTTTGATATTCGGATTGACAATTTCCACGTTCCTCGTGCCAACGTGTGGCAAATGGGCATTCTCGATGATTCCTGAAACACCTGGCGACGCGTTTACCGCGTTAATGTTACTGTTAGTTTGACTGCCAATGCTATCGACCGTTTCGTACGAGAACGAAGGCATTTTGATGTTCCTCAGCGTTGCCACGCTATTGTCGTATCCCGTGTCCTGTATCTTCAGGTACTGGCCTTGGTCTCGTGGCTGAAGCACGAGATTAGTTCCTTGAATCGTTTGCTGTTCAGGAATCACTTGAGGAGTGCTAGCAGATATAGTCGTCAATGTTGGCATTGGCTGTAACACTGCCGGTAGCAAATGAGTCGTCTGGATATAAGTTTTCGTCTTCGGGGCTACGTTGACGTTCTTCAAGATCTGCTGATAGAGGCCACCTTGCAGCTGTGGCTTAACAATTTGCTGAGAGTTCGAGTTCTGCAAATAATAAGAGTTACCATTTATAGTCTGCCTCTGATCGTTCTGACCGACAGCGAAACTTGCTGAGGCCAAGAAATTCGTACTGGCACCAGGAAGCATGGTCTTCTTGTTCTGAGACTCGGACGTCATCAGGCTGATCTTCGTAACGGGTATAGTCTGAGGCGTAGGTGTGATCGTTGGCATCGTTGGAAGTGGCTGGAACTGCAGGCTGCCATGACTAATGGGATTTTGGCCGTGCATCCCGTGAGGATTGACCTGAATATAATCCGGGCTGGTAATAGGCGTCTGCACCAGTGTTGGAATAGATTGAAGAGTTGGCTGAGGGACGATCAGCTGTGGTATATGGTTGGTAGACACCTGATGGGGACCGTTCACGTAAGTAGCCCTAGACGTAGCTGTTTCTTGAACATCCTGTATCGGTATGCTCTGGAGACTCGGATTCAAGTTCGGAGTGACTGCGTAAATTGGCGACACCGTGCTGGACGCGTACTGGGGCTTAAAATTCGCGGCAAACTTGTTCTGATCGTTTATCTGAGGAAGAAACGCCTGCATGGGATTGTGAAAGCTGTTTTGACCGACGATGATGTCTGGGATAGGCGTAGATACCCTTATTTTCGCATCGTGACCGATTATATTCTCCGCGGTGCTCACCATGGGTGTCGGTGTGCTAACCGTGCTGACTGGTGTCGCTGAAACGATGTTACGCAAAACTGCATTGGACATGTCGAAACCTTGACTACTGCCAATCGCTGTTGCGTGATCGAAGTTAGCTACCGGCACCAGGTTCACTTTAACCGGAACGATGAGCTTGGGTTTCTCGAGCTGACCGATTTCGATACCGCTCGAGTGTGAAATTTCCAGGTTAGGAGATACCTGATTCCAACTGCTGCTCGGTTTAAACTTCGAACCCTGTCTACCGTCGTACCGTGTGTCTTCGTAGCTGTCGTCCTGACGCCGATCCTCGTCCACCCAAGAGTTTCCTCTCACTCTCTGACGGTGTGATTTCGATCTCGACGAATGGTACCTTTTACCCTGACTTTCGTTCTCTCTACTGTCGTCCAAGGACCCTCGATGCTCCTTGGGAAGCCTCTTCGAGCTGTCGCTAGGTCTTCTCCTGCCTTTCTGCAGTCTTCTGGGTCTCTCCGTGTATTCCACGTAATCTCCGTCGTCGGACACGTCCCTGGAGTCCTCGTCACTTCGAAATCTGCCGTTCCTGTTGTCCATCGTGTAAAGATTCGATATTTCCGAGCTGACAGAGTCGAGGATCCTCGATGTTTGGAAATTATCGTTGCCCGAGCCGGCGAGTCTCGGCTGATCGAAGTTGTAATTGGACTCGGCTACCACGACAGGCCTGGAGAACCTATTATTTTGTGTGACTTGCGAAGAAGAAGCCATGGTATCGTAAGAGTGGATATTGACCTCCTGGTTCGTCCTTGGAAAGGACGACGCAGTTGGCTCGTTCTGCCTTGTCTGCCCGTGACCGTCGTAGTTCAGAGGATTTTGCTCATGATAATTGCCGTTCACTTTCTCTTGCTCGTGATTCTTCTTTTCTTTGTCCTTCGCTGAATCCTGAGAGTAGTAATAACTGTACGAGTTCTGACCATTCGTTCCAGGTACGACCAGTCCATAATTCCCCATGTAATTCTCCATATTTTGCCCCTTTCCTTTGGTCTTATGCTTCGACGAGGATTGCTGCCCGTCTTCGTTCTCGTTGAAAGTCGACGACGAGTCGTCGTAAAAATCTTGATAAGTTGCCACCACCGGCGTATTATTTCGAACTTTCAGCAACTCGAATTCGTTCGGATTGGTTTGGAACTCGAAGGATCGACGATTCGTACCGAGACTGGGAAAATTCAAAAATATCCTAGCTTCCGTCGAGTATACAGGATCGTTTTCAAATTTACCCCTTTCTTCTTCGTGCTCTGTCTCCTTGTGTCTCGTGTCTGTCGAGCTCGAATTGTCCTCTTCGTTCAAAGAATTCGTCCGAGTAATGTTACTCGAGTCCGATGGAAAGACCGTCGAGGCTGCTTGTTTCGATAGATTAGGTGACGGAGACACCACCATGGGCACGAAACCGTTCGAATTCTCATAGTGCACCGTGGTGTCTATTATCGACGTGATCAACTGGTCTCGGAACTCCTTCTGCTTCCGTTCAGATTTCTGCGCCGTCTGCGCCACATTTTCCGACGCGGTGGCAACCTGATCGAACGCCAGCTCGTCCTGAAGCTCGGCGTTTCCGGTGCCTATCACGTGTGGCCAGCTCAAAGATAAAATAACGACCTGCGTGGAATACGAAATTATTAGCGATCAAAGGGAAACACAAGCGTTTCAATTATTCAACTCGTCCTACTTTTCGTTATTCCGTTTAATTGGTCGAATTAATGATCAGGGAGCGAAATTCGGTCGAAGACAAATGTTCTTCGCGTTTTACCGTTGCAAGAATTTTTACAGCCCCAACCCTGGAGCCATCGACAGACCGAGTCAATTAGCAGCAAGAGTGTGTCTAGACGCACGCGTTTCAAAGCGATCCCGCGGTGAATGCGAGCTCGTTTCACTGGTGAACTGGCTCGTCGATGGACGAAAGAAGAAAGCGCGCCGATTATTGCGAACTTAAGATAATAGCAAAGCTAAACGGGAATAAGTGGCAGTCAAGGGGCTGACCTAGAAAATAAAAGCAGAGTGGAAAAGTAAAATTCGCTGGGCATGCTTGTGTATACTGGGACATTCTAAGACTGAATGTGCACAGAAGCAGATCCTCGGGAACTTTCTCACTGTCTCGCGACGAACAAACTCAAGTATCGTTGTATCGCTGTGCAGTTGTGAATTTGTCACTGAAAACGGTGCTTGATAAAATATAAAGCGGAAAACGAGGGAAGCACTTTTCTCCAAAGCAGAGATAATGGGATAATGTTTTCGTTTCACGTAGCAGCGGGATAATTAGAGATGTAAAAGGAAATAATCACGGTTAATGGTAGGGATAAAATTGCCCTTAATTGCTACGAAATACGTTTACCACGTAGCGAGCGATAAATTCCAGTGAACTTTCCAGCGGAGCGAAATAGAACGACATGTAAAATTGAATACTCCGTGGGGCACAAGGAAAGTAAGATGTTTCCTTTAATTGGCCGTGAGATAAATTAGGGAAAACCGCGACGTCGAAATGTGAAGGAAGAAAGTGCTCCAATTAGACTGGTCCGTATGTGTTTAGACACACTCTAGAAACTTTTATCGGCATCCTATCTCGAATTCTTTTCCGATAAATACGAATTCTGCTTCCGTCCGACTGTTAGCATTTTTTAACATTTCTTCAGACAATTAGGAAAAAATGTGAAATCTTGCATTGCAATTCAAATGCCGATCAGCCTACTTCCCCGTGGAAGCGTGCATAACTCTACCGTCGCGAAAACTCGATCCTCGAAAATACCGACACTCGTTCACGCATAGGTAGACATTTGAACACGTCGATTGTGTAATCGTCGCGATTCCCACGGAATTACATTATCGGCACTTTTCGTCGAGAATTGAATGTCACGTACTTACAAGATGAAAGAACATGTTCCTAGCTAGAGCGCGGGGCGCAACGTTTCCCCTCTAGAACAGAAAACCACGATTAAGAAGCACCGAGTGTCACTGAGGTTCCCGTTGAGCACATCGATCGCGTACGGCGGATCCTCTGTCCAGAATCTCTGTATTAATCCGTAAGAACTTGCGAGGTGGACCTCCACACGAGAACTGAGCCACATAGTAGACACGCGATTTTCTTTATACACTCCGGTAGCCAAGTGAAAAATATCGTTCTAAATATTATCCCATAGTCCACCAGCCGGAGGATACTTTCATTCGCGACACGCGACCAACGCTGGGAAACTGTTGTCCGTAAGGAGTGCAGGATGCTCGCCACCCATCATTATCGTTCGACCACGCGAATTTTCTGGAAGAGAGAAAAGAAGAGAAGAATCACCGCCATGTTTCTATTCCTATCGTAATTTCCAATCTACAAATATTTCGCGCAATTAAATGCAATTACCCATAATGATACATAACTTTGTTAATCTCTTCTCTGCTGGATAATTGTCTTCGTTTCGCTTTGTAGGTGACTTCATCACACTCGCGCGATTCTGAAGGTATTCAGAAAGTCGAGACACATCGACGGATTTTATTCTCCTTTTTCTATTTTCGTCGACGTACCGGTCTATCGAGAAACGAAGAAACTGGTAATTGGTTATTGCACAAAGTATAAAAGATTCACCTCGGACGGTCAGTAGTTTTCCGGCGGCGTTTTACGCGCTCTGAAACACACGCATTATGCGCAGCGCGCTCACTCCTCCCGATGCAACCAGCCTCACACGATAGAAACGACGGCCGACGACGCTAGTACTACGGCTACAGAGTCGTTCCAATGTGTGTAAGAACGCGCTTGCAATCGCCACAGTTTAATGCCTTGTATCTAATTGCCGTGCTCTGTAGATGTGCCAAGATATGATCGTTGGATCTCGTTGTGAAAACGTGGAATTAACTGGCCCTACAACCATCGCGGATTTACTTTGTTCGTCTACACCTACCAGACAATTAATGCTAATTGCCAAGTGGTAACCATGTTTGTGTTCGCTGAATTTTTCCTCTCTCTTCTTCGCGGCGAGGAGATTCTTTCAGATTGTCCGCGATAGAACTTTGATGAAGATCTGCGCTTCGAGATCCGTATCGATGTTTGATGTTGACGTTGAAGAAAGGCTCGTTTTCCGATGTATCGATGTGTTGAATCGTGTAAACGAGAGAAAAGTTAGAAATTCACCGTTAGGGTTCTTTCCACGTTTCTTTCGATTTTCTAGACGGCCTGGGTTAATTAGATAACACGTATCAAGATTTTCCGAACGATTATCGAAGATACTTCGGATAGAGATACTCGTGGAGAACGGTAAAAGGAGAATTGAAAGTAAGGAAAATGAACGTACGCTTATTTAAGCAGCCCGTGAAGATACCGGTGTGATTAGGATCATTAACGGTCTCGTTAAACGAAGTTTTCGAGGAAGTAAAAGGCTCGTTTGCTTAAGTACGAAGTTTATTTAATTACACGTGGAATGTATAGAAAAGCGCAAGGTATATCGCTTCGTGCAAGATCCTTAAAAACTAATCTTATAAAGGTACCTTCTTGAAGTGAGAAATTTGGTGAATCGCGTAGGTACAGTTTCAAAGCGATCGTCAGCTTCGAGTTTCGCCAACTCTTCGAAATTATCATACATATTTCGTGGAAAATCAGCGTTCGTCCAGGTACGACATTTCACGACGAAACATTATTGCACAACCCCGTATTAAATACTATATACCGAGTGACTATCTTCGATCTAGTACACCAATCGATCCTTCGATTCCAATGGCACAGATCATCTTGCGGGATCAGAATAAACGTGCCCGAGATTAAATGGTCTAATTCTTAGCCTTGTACGTCGGGTATCTCGGATCCTCCAGTATCTGAACGTTCTTCACCTTCTGCCTGCCGATAGATCCTTGAACGTAACGATTGTTAACGAAATCTCGATCTTCCACGTTGCTCGTTTCGTAACTGGATCTGCCGATGTAAGAGTTAGGCGTGTAACTAGGCGGCTCGCGAGCATCGTCCTGCGTCAATCGAATCAGATCCAAAACAGGGCTCTTGCTAGACCCAGAACTCGGACCTTTCGACAGGGATTCCGCTCCGAGACTATAAGTGGAGGGCTCGGCCAATTCTTGAATGCTCTTAGCGTACTGAATAAGGTACTGCTGGAGCAGTGCCTTCAGATTAATGTTCTGCGCGGCTTTGCTCTGAATAGGAGAGGCGCCGTCCACTCTGAGTATAATGACCGGTATCAAAGAGTTCCCGGCCTGCACGAAAGTCGGGCGAACGTTGAGAATGGACGAGGGGTTCCTGATGTACTCCGAAATGGACGGGTTGTAATTCAATAGGTCCGAGTATTGAAGGTTGGAGTAGCTGCTTAGGTCGCTATTGCTCAGGCTCTGCTTCGCCGATCCTTCATCCTCCGCCAGTACCGTGTCCAGGTAATTCTGCGTTTTCGGACTGTAATAATTAGACGAAGTTCTGAGACGATTAAGAGTAGTGGTGTTGTCGATTGTCGGTTCTGTTGTGTAACTATCAGTGTACTCGGGATTAGGACTGTTCACCATGTACCTCGAGGTAGTCTGCTGATAACGTGACTCGTAATTAGGCCTCGTTCTACCTGCTGAAGAGGAGGAAGAAGAGGAAGAGGAAGGGGAAGAAGAGAAAGAATAGGAATTGACCGCGTTACTGCTTGGCTTGCGTTGCTGTGCCAGGTTCACGTTCTGCCGTTGGGTCACTAAATTCTGATAACCGAGCCGGTACACCTGTTGCTGCGGCAAACTCGACGACAACGACTCCGAAGAGACGAATGGGTTTGGCTCCTGTCCGGTCGGCTCGGAAACGCTGGGAAATTGCACCGGTCCCTGGGAGAGAATGCTATTTTCCGTGGAGCTGCTTTCATAAATCGAATGACTGCCCTGGGATTTTAGTTCCTCCGCCGCCGATTGCGACGGATATTCCACGTAAGTGGCTGGAGGGACGTCGGACACCCTGCCGTCCGGATACTTCCAGAAGACTTTGTTCTCGTACCGTATACCATCCTCCACGGTGTATCTCTGGCCGGCTGAGCTAGGGAAATGAGTATTGTAGTTTAACGGAGCGAGCGTGGAGGACTGGACACTTTGTGGGACGGGAGCGAAGCCATGGGAATTGATATTGGATTGAATATTCTGTCTCTGGCCTGTGTAAGTCCGCGTGGGATAGTTAAACGAGTCGGTCTGCGGACTCGGGAACTTCACCGGGCTAGGAGTTACGTATCTGACCGGTTGTGTCGCGCTGAAAGCCAAAGGTGATTGCGTGGTAGTCGAGACACCGTTGTTCCTGTATCCGGAATTTTGAATTGCGAATGAGCTGACCGGCGGTCTCGACGTTGTCAGGTAGTCCTGGTACGACTCGAAGCTGGAACTTGCCGCGGCTTGTTGCGGCTTCGTTCGTTCGCCGAACACAGATTTCCTCGTTTGGTGAACATTTAAGTATCGGTAGTTCCCTGGATTTTCACTTTGACCAATTCCATCGAACGAATTCTGACGTGTACCGTAGTGTCCTTGTTGACTGCTAGGTTGCACCCTTTCTATTATAGTTTTAGGTAAAAACGGACTGACCGATTCCTCGATGCTCACAGTTGTGCCTGACTTTCCAGCTGGAAAATAATAATTGTACCTTCTCGATTGGATGTTATTCTTGTCGAGACCGTAACCAAGACCACTGTTCACTGTTCGCTTCGATTTTTCCTCGGCGGTGACGTTTTCCTCGTTCGTGTCGTTAGCGAAGTCCAGGAGAATGATCGGCGGCAGGATTGGTAGCTTATCCTCCTCCCGATCCTCCTCCTTCGAGTCGTTCTTCTTCGAAAGGACAATGTCGACGTTCTCTGTATGGGAAGAAGCAGAGACGGCCTCGTCTTCCGGTGCATCGTCCTTTTCAGCGGGGAGAGTCTTCCCGGAAGTGTTCGTGGAGCAGAGACCAATTATGAGAAGAATCGCGGCGATCTGAAAGCGACGAAGAGCGTGTAAAAATCAGCGCCAGAGCTCGTTTAAACGGATGCAACGTAACAACGAGACGGTGGTGGGTTGGTTATCGATCTTACAGCTCGATGGTACAATAATGATAATCTCACTTTCACCTCCCTTCCATCACCGAGTGTGCACGCGTGCCGCTCCCTTTTATTCTTCGACGTGGTCTCGTCGGCCGGGACGTCGTCGTTTAATACCGAGCTAACCGATAATTATCGAGGGGAAATCGTGCTTTCCTGAACGACGGTTATATTCAACGCAGATGCCCAACCTTGGCGGAAAGGAGTACGAATTTCTACAAGGTCACAGAGTTGAAGTGAACCACCCGATCGGCAAGTTAGGAGAACGAGTTTCATGTGACGCGCACTTGCGATTTTCACCGCTTTCTTCCGACGATCACAACCGCCTACAGGTATATTCCTACGTAAGCGCCTCGAATTTCAAGAATTCACGCCGATTCTCGGAGAAATTGTAAAGCATCGCGTGAAAAAAATATTCCTTCTCATCGGTGTAAATTTCAATCTTATTCAAAATTTACGGCTAATAATCTCCGCGGGAGACGGGTATGAAAGTTACTTGAGATGCGTAAAAAAGTATAACGTTATACTCTTTCTCCTCGTAGATTATCTGCAATAGAAACTGTTCGATCTTGAAATAACCCTGTAACTTGAGGCAACCGATGTTTCGCAAGAGGGGACGACGATTATTTGGTGAACTAACGGGAGGGTCTGACAGTTTTCTACCAGGGTTTATCCTTTCGAGCAGGTAAGGAAATCGTTACCTAATAACGAACAGATTTTATGACAGCTCGGAGAGACCGCTGCTCCTCGAATACCCTAAAGGACTTTCACTGACTTGCTCAAGAGCATCTGCCACACGGCTTACTTCGCCGGGTCTGCGCGGACGACCGTGGACGAAAGAAAATAAGAAACACTTTCTCCGTAATGACCGATTCAGAGGAGCCTGGACTCGATACGAGTGGACGAAGAGGAAAAAACAAAAGTTCACCGACAAAAATAACGAATACACTTTTCTCAGCTTCGTTTATTTCACTTCGACGATCGAGATAATTACGAATAACACACCGTGTATAATCAACGGGATTAAACCAGCTATGAGACCTGTGTGAGAGATGTTACGCGAGAAACGGGACGAGATAAATTGAAGAACGTGTACGCGAGTGAACGCGTACGTAGCACCGCTGCTCAGAGGAACTGACAGGAGTAATCGTTCATAAACGAGATAAGGTTAGAAATTCGAGTCTGTGCACGTGAAACTCTTACATTATCCTCCGAGCAATAATCTGCATACATGAATGAAATTATCAGCGTGACTGTTACATTTCCCCGACTGCTTTGCTATTTTATATAAAAAATGACACCGGTGCAAATTGAACCGATGGAAGAAGCGGCGTTATCCGACGAAAGGATTAAACCGGTGAAAGAGACCGCACTTTCCAAGTGTAAAAGTGTAATTTTAAGGAAGAAAGCTGGGCTGAAATGAGAAACTGGCGTACTTACCACCTGAATCGCGTGAATCCTCATGACGATGGCCGACCTTAACACCTGTGCGCTTAGCGGTCTTCTCTTGTGTATTTGGAACTGATGAAGCAGAGACGGCAACATCCCACCTTATATGCCTTCGCCTGAACCGCGAGAGGGACACCACGATTATAGTTTCACCGCTACAACACACTAGCATTCCTTGGTCTATACGTGCGGGTAGACGCCAGTAGCGTAGCGGCGCTACTGAGATTGTGTGTTCAGCCATCGCTAATATTTCGACACGACGAAAGCTGGAATCGACGATCTAATTCCCGGCCCGGGCGATAATTAATCCTCGGCAGACGCCACGTGGATACTTTACGACGCGCCAAATCTTTGACATTATGCAAATTAGCCGAATTACCAGATTTGCCAAATTTTTCTAGAAAATTAAGAAACCTTCTCTCTAATGTTTCTCCCATATTATCGCTACTTACTCCTAACGGACGACAGAACGTCCGGAGGAATTGTACGTTGTAATCGATGTTTATTTGGTTAATTGTACGGTTCGGTTGAGAAGAACGTTGGATTCTTCGTGAGAAATGAAATGAACAATTTTACGTGATATTAATTGCACGAGTGAACGATTTGAAAGGCCTACACCATTGGCTTCTTCTCCTGCAGCATCCGCTTTCTCATTTTGGCTCGCCGACACGTACGAGGAAAGAACTACGCGCCGGTGCCTTGTTTATGTGTCGCTGTCGATAATGTTTTTATCATAGACACATTAGCACCGTAATCAAAACTTTTAGCCAAGTGTGTAGAAAGCATTATATACTTAAGGCGTTTCTAAGCTCGTCAATTTTCACGCTTACCTCGTTTAAAAAGGTTCTCGCTAATAACCGTTGCCAGTATGCAGAAATTCTGCTTATTTCTTGGTCGCACAAACATTTACCGGCGTTTAACGATTTCGTTTACTTAATTTATCGTACTTCATTTACAAACGAAATTCAGGCCAAGGATAAACTTCTCTTTCCACTAATTACAACAGAAATTTCAATTACAAATTGCAGATACATGTACCTGTTCGTGTATATATACATATATAAAACAACGTGTGGTTTAGTAAGAGTTTATTTTAAAAAATCGTATAAAACGTACACCCGTGAGACGATAGCGAGAAAAGATATCGAAAAAACAAACAAAGAACAAAGTTAGGCGTAACTGTGACGTTCTCCACTGATTGCTCGATGATTTTCGATGAAAGACTAGATGGGTTCGCGCCTTTTTATCGTCGTTCGACGTGTCTTCGCTCACTCCTGCAATTGCCTTGAACGTAGAAATTTTTCTTTTAGACAGAGCTGTGCACCCTACTGGCCATCATGCTCGACGTTCGTCAATTGTCAAATGAGGAAACGACTCTCGATCGTTAATAATTGGTCTTGCGCTTTTTGTGTAGAAAGTTCTCTTTCGATGGAAGAAAGCCACTTTCCAATTTTATTGGCCTCTCTTGATATCTGTAATAAGCGTTTAACAAGAACATTAACACCAAAAGGAAAATCTACTCCGTTCGAGTCATTCTACAAAGTAGCAATCGCATTACCTGTCTGAATCTTGTGCTGCGATTAATTTACTGGGAACGTAGGAATCCAGTAGCGATCTAGGTTCAGAGGAACCTACGTGATTCTGCTCGGGAATAGATTCTTCCTCTTGCGGCACGGGTAACAAAGTTGTTGGAACTGCCTTGAAATCCTGCGAGGCCAGCTGAGGTGGTATCAAATCGACACTGGGTTCTTCCGGATCCTGTCGTGGTACAAAAAAGGATCACTTTGTACCGAGAAATTTTGTGGGCAGCCATGAAGCTTTAAATTGTAAAGGACCTTTAACTTCT